TGACTTCAACTATGAATAGAATGATATCAGATCCAGAAGTTAGACAAGTATTAATTAAATCCTTGGCTTTTGAAGATGCTAATTCACAATACAAAAGGATAATCAGGTCTTTAAATGCGAGATAAGCACCCATGGATGAATGGATCTGAAATACAAATGATACTGAATCTTATACTCATGATGATACTTAGAAGAGGAGTTTCCAAAAACTTTAAGAAAAATCAAAATGTCAGATTTAATTGTGTTAAACGAGGTCATCTAAAAAGGCTAATAGAAAAGGTATTCCTAGAAACAGGGTTTTATTTGTTTTTTTGTTTTTTGTTTTCTCTAGAAATAATCCAACCAGCAGGCCCCAGCCTTCTGGAATATGCAGAAGGTGCGGCAAAGGCCCACACTGGATTAAAGAATGCAGACCAACAAGGGGCCTCTCACAGGCTCCCATGTCAAATTTGGTTCAATCATTTCCTGTCACCATGAGGGGAACTCCTCCACTGAGCAATTAAAGGGCCTAAATGGTGCACAGCTTCAGTAGGTAAGACAAAATTTTCAGGAGAGACCATAAAACAAGTATTTTGGCAAACTTCTATAAACGACCAAAGACCTAAGCTTAAAGCATTGTAATTGAAGGTTTGGTTGGCATAGGGGAAGATGTAACCATAATTTCACCAAAATCTTGGCATCCAGATTGGCCTCTTTAGGAGGTAAATGTTCAACTTCTTGGGATTGGAAATTTAGCTCAGGTAAAACAAAGTTCCAGATGGGTCAAATGCACAGGGCCAGAAGGACAGATTCAAAAATTAAAACCATATGTGGCTAAACATAACAATGAATTTATGGGGATGTTGCTGTGGGATAATGCTCTTGTACACTGTAAAGATTTGTCACTCGAATTGGTTTAATAAAACACTGATTGGCCAGTAGCCAGGCAGGAATTATAGGTGGTATGAACAGACTAGGATAATTCTAGGAAGAGGAAGGGCAGAGTCAGGAGTTGCCAGCCAGGCACAGAGGAAGCAAGTTTTGAGAAAAGGTACCAAGCCACATGGCTAAACATAGACAAGAATTATGCATTAATTTAAGTATAAGTGCTATTAGTAATAAGCCTGAGCTACCAGCTGAGCATTTATAAATAATATTAAACCTCTGAGTCAACTATTTGGGAAGCAGCTGCTGGGTATTTGGGAAAAAGCGAGAGAGAAACATTCCGCATATAGGATGTGATTTATTACAACAATGGAAAACACAGATCAACATTCCTCCAATCTCAAAAACAAACTGCAGAAAATGCTACTGAGAGAAATATTAGATGGTATTCTGAAGAGCGGCCACAGACACTTCATGTTGTACATAAACAGGACATAACAGCTGGTAATCTTACAAGGGTACTAACAGCACTACCTTTAAAATGGCTGACTGACAAACCATTTATCTGGGTGAAACAATGGCCTTTAATATCAGAAAAATGACAGGCATTAGAACAGTGGGTACAGGAGCATCTAAATGCTCAACATATTGAAGAATTGACCAGTGCTAGGAATTCTCCTATATTTGTCATTAAAAAGAAATCCGGAAAATAGAGAATGTTAATAGATTTGAGAGCCATAAATAAAATAATTCAGCCCATTGGCTCCTTATAGCCTGCAATACTCTTGTCTTCTCTAATATCTAAAGAATGGTCTTTTATAGTGATTGATTTAAAAGAAAGATTTTGTACTAGATTTTTTTTTTTTTTTTTTTACAAGAACAGGATAGAGAAAATTTTGCCTTCACGGTGCCTACTTATAACAATTCCCAGCCTGTTAAAAGGAATCATTGGAAAGTTCTCCCACAAGGGATGTTAAACAGCCCCACCTTCTGTAAATATTTTGTACAACAGCCATTGGAAACAATTTGTAAACAGTTTCCTCAATTATAATTTACCATTATATGGACGATATCTTACATATTACAATTTTATTGTCCATGTTTTTACCAGGCTCTTTGCAGTTGGTTGTTGGTTATTTTGTTTGTTTGTTTGTTTGTTTGTTTGTTTGTTTTCTGAGACAGGGTCACACTATGTAGCCCTGACTTTCCTGGAACTCATTATGTAGACCAGGCTGGCCTCAAACTCACACAGATCCTCCTGCCTCTGCCTCCCAAGTGCTGAGACTAAAGGCATGTGCTATCATACCCAGCTGTTGGTATATGTTTTAACAACAGATTCTCCAAATGTAGTCTGATTTTTTCTTGTTTATGTGTTTTCATTTTCTTCAGTGCTAAGAATCTAACCCAGGATACTATACATTTTAGGCAAGTGTTCTACCACTGAGCCCAGACCTAAGTGTAATTCTTAAGTGACCACTGATGGCTCTTTTCATTTACATCAATAAGTAAGACATAACTACAACAACAAAGACATGGTCAAACTATTGACAATGTAAATTTTGCAGACATAACACTTTGTGTGTGTAGTAGTCATGGCTGGCAGCAAATTCATGATGTGGCTGAGGGTGACCTTGTACTTCATATCCTCCTGCCTCTGTTTCTCAAGTGCTGGGATCACAGGTGTGTGCCACCATATCAGAAGTGAGACATTTTAAAATTTAATCTCTAATAAACTTTTTTCTATCATTAGGTTTGGATAATCAACAAATCAATAAATCAAGTTCTCCTTTGCCACATATGCCAATTTTATGGTGTAAATACTCCAAAATCAATGTTTCTCTTAGAAACAATCTGTGTAGTGGTATATATACTATCTTATCACATTCTACTGATGAGGTATTTCATGTATATAGGCAATCACAAATATTCAGAAAATGGTAAATGTAATAAAAGCAGGAAATGAAAAGTTTTATTTTCCGCATATTTTCTTTTACTTTGTGGCTACATAATTTAATGTTCTAAATAACTATATTTACCAAATTTGCAAAATTATTGAAAACTTAACAGCTGGCTCTTTCTCTAGCACATCACTGGCTTGTCTTATTACTGAACTGGTAGAGTTCTTTAAGTGTATTCTAGTTCAGCACTTACAGGAAACCATGGAGTTGGCCTGGCCTTGAGAGGCACGTGTCATAGGTTTTCCAGGTTAGAGTCTTTGGCTCCTGGGCATTGTGTGCCTTCAGTTCCTGAGAAATCAAGGGACTCCTTCAGGCAGTGAAGCATTCAGACAGCTTTGTGTTTCTCTTCATGTTGTTGCCTTAGAAGTCAATTGTCTTGGACATTAATCTTGTGTACCCCGTGTAGCTTATAAATGTCATTGTATCCTGACAACTACCATAGTATTGATCCTGGCAATCGCCATTATATTGTTTCTGATAAAGGTATAAAAAGTCTTTTTGCTCTCAATAAGATTATCCCAGTCTCAGTCTTGCTGTGGCCCCTCCAACCCAAGCCTGGTTTAATTCCCAGACCAGCTATATCAGGTAACCTTGGCCTGGTACGTAAGCACAGGCCTTACAGGCACACCCAGGATTACTGTCTGGGATCTTGAAAATATCTGTCAAATTGCCAGCACAGTGCAGCTACCCTGGCTGAGCTAGTGAGCACGTGAAACACAGCTAGCACAACAGAGGAGCCGAAGTGAAAAAGCGGCATGGGGCTAACAACTACTATATGGAGGGTGATACTCACTAGACACGGACCTGACTCTCCCCTACACAGCTGACTAATACTTGGGGCAATACTAATGAGAAGAAGCATTCTTATACTCTGCATCCTCACAACAGTTAAAAGCAGACCATAGTCAAAATGCCTGAACTGAAATATTTCCTTCCTTTTAAAGAGCTGATAGCACCACCACACACTTGACAAAATAATGACAAAAAAGTAAATGAAATCATGTATGTAGAATGCTTAGTACTCTTTCCAACTGTATTGTAAATGCTCAGCAATTGAAACTACATATTAGTTTTGGCTTCCATTTTGAGTCTGTTAAATTTGCAGATTAGGGCATCCCTCAGTCCTCACCAGAGAAGCTTCTTCTTGCAGTAGATGGCAATCAATAGAGAAACCTACAACTGATCGACATACAGAGAACAAGAGACTTTGGAAATCTCAGCCCTAAATGGGATGTCTATATCATACTTCTCACCTCAAGGCTCAGGGTTCTACGTGGGAGAGGACTAGAAAGATTGTAAGAGCCAGACGTGGTGAATGGCTTCAAGGAAAGAGTGTTTTCCAAACACAGCAGGGGAGATGCAAGACGAACCTACAGAGATTTGTGAGAGTATAAACAAGATCTACAGAAGCCCAAGCTATAGAGAATCCCAGTACCGAGTAGGGGAAGTAGGCACAGAAGACCCGCCCCTAGCCAAGCTATTCATAACTGGTAGCTAGTGGGAGAAGGAAAATCAGTTTTTTCAATGGAGTGACTCTGGGTGTATCAACCACTCTCCAGGGCAGGACTCCATGCTTAGTTTGTTTTTGATTTTTTAGAAAGGCAGAGAAATAGAGCATGAAGTTGGGTGGGTAGGGAGTTGGGGGAAGGGAATGAATATGATCAAAATACATTGTATGAAATTCTCAAAGAATAAAGTATTTTTTAAAATGGTCTTCAGAGTTACTGTATCGCTCACTGGTTTGAAAACTGGGTAAAAAAAAATTCACTCATAAGTCAGTTATTAACAATCTAGGTAATCCTTCAACCATCATTCCCAAAAGGGGTTAAAATCATGTCACTCTAGCCTTCTCCTCCCTTCTCCGGGCTTTAAAATTGGCCGGGCTGCGGGAGAACCCCGTGATTGACAGGGTGTCCAGCCAGTCACTGGCACTGGCCAATCAGAGGCGGCCCCGTCTCAGGCCCAGCCCAAGTCCCTGTCCAATCGCGTCCGGGTGGCGGCCAGAGCAGGACGGTTGGGAGGCGGTCGGTTCCAAGTGGGCCGCGGCGCGGGGGGGACGGCGGGTTGGCCGGCCGGAACCCCGAAAGCGGTTCGCACGCCACGCGTGGAGCCCGCACACCGCGGCTGCTGAGAACCGCCCTGCCCAGCGGGACCGCCGAGACTGACCTTGGCCGGGAGCCCATCCTGGCAGGCGGCGTGTGCTGTGGGTCCCTGGCGTCCCCTCCGGCGCGCTCTTGGAGCCACTTCCCAGAGCGGAAGTCTGCCTGCTCTGGCTCCGGTGGGACCTGCTCGGAGGAATGGCGCCGCCGGGTGAGACGTTGCGCATGGCTCAACAGTGGGGCCCCGCGGCCGACACGCCTTGGGGAGCGGGGCGTCGCCCGCGGGAGGCTAGTGCGGACCACACGGGCGCCGGCCAGGCGCTGTTCCCCTCCCCTACGGGGCAGGGGCATGGGCATGGGCTCGGGCGCTTTCGGGGGTCGTAGGTGTGACGGAGGGCTGCGAGTTCTGGTGAAGTGCTGCCGACCCGAAGGGTTGCTGCGGAGGGGGAGCGTGCAACGCGTGGCTACGGGTCCCCGCGAGGCCCAGCGCGAACCGCGGTAGCGCGGACCCAGGCCCGGCCGCCTTCATTCATTTGAGTGGTGCCGGCGGCCTGCAGCCGGTCTGGGAGTCACCCTTGGCGTCCTGAAAGCCTTTGACCATGTCACTGGACTTTGTTTGGGCCCTAGGTTCCTTTTCACTGACAGGGACAGGAGACTCACCTAGCCGAAAGCCTAGGCTATGAAGGGATACTAGAGGCGCAGACTGGCCTCATAACTGAGTAACTGGCCGCATACTCATTGTGAGACCAGGTGCCAGGGACTTAATCCCCTCTGCGCCTCAGTTTCTCGATTGGTATCTGCTTCGTAAGAGCTGTGTTGAATGGTATTCTGTGCTTGCTTTCTAACAGTGCAGAGCAAAATTCGATGCTTGGTAGATTTTTGAATGGACACAGTAGTGTGGAACCTCGTGTCATCTTTTTAAAAATCACTATTTGGGTGTATATCTTCTATTCCCCCGGCCGATGAGTAGTTGGAATCCCAGAGAAAGGAACTAACTCGGGAACGCAGTGAACAAAACTTGCCATTTCACTGATTTGCTGGTTAAAGTGGTTAAAGTCAAAATGTGTATTGAAACTGTCTCAAGTGTGAGTCTCAGGTGTCTTAGGGCAGGGACAGGTAACTTAGGAACCTTAATTTTTTTTTTTTCTATTTTTAGATAGGGTCTAAGGAGCTGGGGAGCTGGGTTCAGTTCCCAGCACTGAGAGAAGAACAAGTTCATGGCACGCAGGAGCATTCACTGTATATTGATGAATACTGCACACTATAGAGCTCTTTGCTCTTTTAGTTTAGGCTTGGGGCATCACACCCAGGGAATGGATTCTACACTAAGCCATTGCCGCTACACATACACTTTTAAGTTTTTAAAGAGCGTTCACGTTTAGGTTAGCAAACACACACAGACTTAAATGAAACTACTGTTCATAGAAGAGTGAGTCTCTGTGAGCTATGCACCTTGAACATTGAAAAAAGAAAGAAAAGTAGGGCGCTGTCAAGGTGACTCCGGAGTTAATGTTCTTGTCATTAAGCCTTATGCTAAGATGACTGAGTTCGATCTTCAGGTGGAACTGCATGGTAGGAGGAGAGAACTGACTCCCAAGTTTTCCTCTGACCTCCATATGTTCACACCCCCAACCCCAATTTAATTCATTTTTCTTAAGTGGAATGTGAATGAACTCCGTAGTGTTGACTGAGTTTGACTCCAACCAAGACTGGCCACTTGTAACCGACTCAGTTCTCTTCTTTGTAAAGTAAGCCTTTAAAGGAGTCTAATCCAGCTTGAGCGATAGGCAAGGAGCTAGGCCATTGATGTTAGTCTTGTAACTGCCTTTTAATGCTTTTAACTTGGGTGTCAGACGATTCACTTTTTCATGACACAGGCCGTTCAGATGTTCCCTGGTCTTTGTTTTTAATGAAAGATGGCAGATGCCATTCCTACAGGTTCTTCTGTCCCCTGGGGGGGGGGGGGTCACAGACGGGACTGGTTTTTCTTTTTCTCTTTCCCTTTATTCAGGGCATACCATACCTGGCTATCTGTAAGACTTGGAAATACTGAGATAAATATGAGAAATAGTCTTTAGCCTCCAGCTCCTAGAGGCTAGGAGCTTAGTGTTTAGCAGAGAGATCAGCCTTCATATTCTTTCTTGTTATTGTTGTTGTTTGGTGCTTTTGGGGGGGTGTTGTTTTGTTTTTTGTTTTTTTACCCACCCACACCCACACCCAGACAGGGTTTCTCCATGTAGTCCCAGCAGTCCTGGTACTTGCTTTGTAAACCAGGCTGGTGCTCCCTACAGACCAATCATTGTTCTAAAAGCTTTCTCCTTTAACTCCTAAGGAGCCCAGGCATGACACTTGTCATCTGCTTTATGCTTGAGGAGGCCGAGGTAGTTGCTGAATAACTTAACTGTGGTTCCTATATAGGCCGGAGGCTAGGTCCTTCATTGTACTGGACCTAACTCAAGGAAAGCTTCTGGAAGAAACGTAAGCCGAAACCTGAAAGGACACATCATGAGAAGTTGAAGTTGAGGCAAACCTAAAGAGTGTTGTTGGGTAGGGAGGAACATGGCTCCTTGAGGAACAGGCTGGAAAGTGAAAGTTGTTGGAGTGGGCGAGGGAGGAGTTTGGTTGAGAAGGAGACAAGATACAAGGATTCAGGATTGGTTCTGTCCTGAGGCGTTTTAAATGGGAATGGTGCTTTGGTGTTCTTCAGATTTCTAGAGCTTTCATAAAAGACTGTCCTGGTATTTGAAGATGGGGGTCATCATTCCCCATCTCTTGAGTCTAGACCTGTGTTCTCTACCCATTCCCACGTGGTTAGGCTCCCAGTCCTTGCTGCATCATACTGTGACGAGGGGTAATGTGGCATGTACTTAACTAGCCATTTTCCTCAAAGGTTCAAGCGCTGTCTTCCTGTTGGCCCTGACAATCATAGCCAGCACCCAGGCTCTGACACCTACCCACTACCTCACCAAGCATGATGTGGAAAGACTGAAAGCCTCTTTGGATCGCCCTTTCACAAATTTGGAGTCTGCCTTCTACTCCATCGTGGGACTCAACAGCCTTGGGGCACAGGTGTCAGATGTCAAGGTAAAGCTGCCTTTCTTCTGTTCACAGTGCTTTAGGAGAATCTTAATCTCCTCACATGCTCCTCTTGTATACTTTAAAACAAACCCTTGCTGGTGTGAGTATTACTGCATTTAATGCAACAAATACTTCTTTCAGTCTGAGGTTGGTTGTTTACTTAATGTATGTCTCAATAGGTGGGTATTTCTTCTTTTTTGATGAGTATTCTGTCTGCATGTCTGCCTGCATGCCAGAAGAGGGCACCAGATCCCATTACAGATGGTTGTGAGCCACCATGGGGTTGCTGGGAATTGAACTCAGGACCTCTGGAAGATCAGCCTTAACTGCTGAGCCATCTCTCCAGCCCCAGTCATCTTCCCAGCCCCAGCTGGTTGTTTCTAAGGGAAAGGAGGAAAGAGAGTCAGAGCCTCTGGAATCTACTAGAACTCTTATCTGTGAAACTACTCAGGACAGGACTTGGTTTGTGTACTTCTTAACCACTGAGCCATCTCCCCAGCCCCATGTGTGCTTGGAAAGTGCTAGGTACATGGCTAATAACTCAAAGGAGCTCAAGGTGGAGGACTCAACAAGCATTAATCAGTGAGAGTCATTGTGTGGGGCAATTTGGACGAAGTCTACTTTTGGTGATCAGAATACATTGCATTTGAAATGTTTTCTGGCTTGAGGAACTGTCATTGGTTTTTTGTTTGGTTTTTTTTTTTTACTCTTTGGAGGCCTGCCCCCCAGCCTTTCTCTATTCTAGATCCCTTTCTTTCCTTCTTACTCTGTGACTGGTTGTGTGGCCGGGTGGCTGGCCCCTAGTGTCCTCCTCCTTTTCTCCTTTTATTGCTCCTCCCTCTTCTCTTGAGCCTAGATTTCTCCTTCTATTTATTCTGTCTGCCTGGCAGCCCTGCCTAGCCCTATCCTGCTTAGGTATTGGCTGTTCAGCTCTTTATTAGACCATCAGGTGTTTTAGACAGGCAGAGTAACACAGCTGTACAGAGTTAAACAAAAGCAACTTAAAAGAATGCAACACAACTTTGCACCATTAAACAAATGTTCCACAGCATAAACAAATGTAACACATCTTAAACTAATATTCCACAACAAGGAACAGCTAAGGGGGTGTGTAGTCAGTACAAAATCATGGACAGTTAGGCTAAGACATTTTCTATGACTTCATAAGAAATTACCATAAATTTAGGATTTATAAACCACCCATTTGTGCAGCAAAATGGCTCAGTGAGTAAAGGTACCTGCTGCCAAAGCTGATGACCTGAGTGAGTTCAGCTCTGAGAACTCACGGTGGAGGGAGAAAACCAACTCCTGCAGGTTGTTGGTGACAAAGATGAGGCTCGGTTTGTCAGCCTTGTCTGCAGAAACCTTTGCTAGCTGAGCTCTCTCATTGACGCTGGTACTACTTTTCATTATAGCATGCATCCTTGATTTGTCACAGTGTACCCTGATGTGGTTCTGCTTCTTCCTCAGGGGTTGTATGTACATTGGTCCATGAGGGTGCAGGAAGCAGAAGTGGGGAACAGTGTTTGGATGGCTGTGGGTATGATGGAGACAGCCCTCTGGGGTATGACTTTGGTGAATCAGCTCAGCTTTATTCCAGAGTATAGGGAATAGGATTGGGAGGCCTGGGGACAAACCCTA